TATACTTAAAATCGTCCCTAAATAAAATCCTCCTTAGGTCAGGCCCGCTTGCTGGAAAAGCCATGTCTTGAGGGCGCGGCGGAAAGTAAGGAGATCCGGAATCATCCGGATCTCGGGGGGTAGTTCATTCCAGAGGGTGGGGGCACCCACAGAGAAGGCCCTTCCCCTGGGGGTCGCCAGCCGACATTGTTTGGCCGACAGCACCTTTGTTTTCGGTTTCCCGCTGACTCAAAACCTGGGTGCTTTTTCCAGAAACTCCCACCTGAATAAATAGAGAAGCCGTATCTGGCTTGCTCCGCCGATGTTCCGAGAACATTTGTCTGCAAATCATTCTCCCTAACCAGCTGTCAGAAAGTGGTCCCACTAGGAGATTAATTTCTGCTTGCCAAGTCACGAGATGTGTAGCAAGACCAGTGAATGGGGTTACCCTGGAGTTGTGTGTTACGTGACAGGAAAGCCTGCGAAAATGGCAAAGATGGCAAATCTCCAGGGCTTATTCAGAGGCCGAGGAGAAGGAAATGAAATGCTAGCTAGGAATGAAGGCATGACGTGACATGCAGTTTCTCTCCCGGAAAAAGAAATGCCTGCAAATGTGGAAGCACTTTGGCTTGTGAGATGCTTCTGTCTCATGCAGTGACAACATTATCCTTCCCCACCCCTATACACGTAGGCTGCATTCTCTACCAGACCTGTGACACATTCAAAGCTCGTTCTCACCTGTGACAGTATCTGCACAGGTAGTCCTCGACTTACAACAATTTGTTTAGTGACCGTTCGAAATTACAACGGCGTGAAAAAAATGACTTACGTCCGTTTTTCACACTTACGACCGTGGCAGCATCCCCATGGGGGTCAAGTGATCAAAATTCAGACGCTTGACAACTGACTCATATTTACGACGGTCGTAGTGTCCCCTTTTGCGACCTGCTGACAAGCAAAGTCAAGGGGGAAGGCCAGGCTCACTTAACAACGGCAGTGATTCGCTTAGCAACTGCGGCCAGAAAGGTCACAAAATGGGACAAAACGAACTTAACCAAATGACTCAACCACAGAAATGTCGGGCTCCGTTGTTGTTGTAAGTCCAGGACCACCTGTGCTCCACAAAGGCCACCGATGACTATGATTGCAGTAAACATTGAGGGTCTGTCTGCCTGTGAGGAAGAGCTGTGGTGGGACCTGTGCCCAAAATAGAACTGCAATGCCCTGTGTGTACAGGAGACCCACGGAGACAATAATAAGAAAAGAGCTAAAATGCGGAGCATGTGGTTTGTATCACAGAGGCCCCACTGAGAGTATTGCAGCGCAGTTCTTTGTGAAGCCTGGTTTGGTCCAGGTTTGGTCCACAACAACATCAGAATTAAATAACATAGAAGTAAAAAAATATAGAAATAACACAGAAGGCAACTAAGATATCCAAGGCCTGGAGACTAAAATATAGTCTCGGGACTTGGGTTTGGCTAGTCTAAAGAAAAGAAGAAATAGGGGAGACATGATAGCAATCTTCCAGTATTTGAGGGGCTGCCACAAAGAAGAGGGGGTCAAACTATCCTCCAAAGCACCAGAGGGCAGGACCAGAAACAATGGTTGGAAACTGATCAAGGAGAGAAGCAACCTGGAATTAAGGAGAAACTTCCTGACAGTGAGGACAATCAACCAGTGGAACAGTTGGCCTCCAGAAATCACTGGAGATTTTAAAGAACAGACTAGACATTCACCTCTCTGAGAAGGTATAGGTTCTCCTGCTTGAGTAGGGGGCTGGACTAGAAGACCTCCAAGGTCCCTTCCAGCTCCTATTCTATTCTATTCTATTCTATTCTATTCTATTCTATTCTATTCTATTCTATTCTATTCTCCATTCCATATCTATTCTATTCTATTCTATTCTATTCTATTCTATTCTATTCTATTCTATTCTATTCTATTCTATTCTATTCACTGCAGAGCTGATCAACTGTATGATCGCTTCAGTGTATACACCTGTGAGATGCCTCCTAGACAGACAAACATCTTAAAATGCCCTTGTAAGGAAACATTCAGAGCAGCCAAACTAATCCTAAGTAGTAATGGAGAGAAAACTCAGCCAGGAACCTACAGGCCCAGTAAACTGAATTGTTTCTGTTTACCCGCCATATATCAGAGATAACATAGCTAGCAAGCTGACTTAGTAGGCACAAGGGATAAATAATAAGGTCAAGGAGATGGGTTTATCTGAAATATTCCAATGTCATGTGTCTGCCTTTTTCTTTGTCTTTGCAATGTTGTGGGCCAAAAGAGCACAAGCTCCGATTCTCTTTTGCTCATGGCTGTTCTGCAAAGCGCAAAGCTTTGCTGGGAGCCCAGTATACAGTATCTATGTTTTGTGTTATTGATTTGCATGCAAATAAAAGAATGTCGCCTCTTCAAAGGGATTTGGCTGTTTTAAGTGAGCCAGGTTTTGGCCACACAACCCTGTGCAATTTGCTTCTTCTTCTTCTTGTGCCATATCCGTTATCGGACGTTGGCGATCCTGTTGGCGATCCTGTTTTTATCAGCAGCTGCACAAAAAAGTGCTGCTGAGTTTTGTCCAAACCAGTCCCTTAGATGTTGAAGCCACGATGTTCTTCTTCTGCCTGGACCTCGTTTGCCTTCCATCTTTCCCTGGAGGATTAAATGGAGTATGCCGTGTTTTTCTGGGTGTCGCGTCACATGTCCGAAATATTCTAACTTTCGTTTTTTAACCCTTGGCTTTCCCAGGCGGCTTATCCCCTCCTCATTTCTGATCTTGTCAGCCCAGCTTCTATGTAACAGCCGCCTGTAAATCCCCATTTCAAATGCTTCTAGTCTCTTCAGGTGGCCTTCAGTCAGAGACCAACTCTCTGCTCCATAGAGCAGGGTAGAAAAAATATGCAATTTGCTGGGGGAAAAAACCCCATTAAGCAGTGCTTTTTTTGTAAAAAAAAAACAAAAACAAAAAAGGTGCCGGAACTCACACGTCATACAACCCGCCTTGCCTACCCTACAAGGTTCCATCCAAAAAAAGTGCCGGAACTCCATTCTGGGCATTCTATGACAAAAAAAATCCCTGAGCATTGCTACATCAAGAGTTTCCCCTCCTTCATCCAATGGGATGCTGTTTTACCCACTGTGTTTCCTTCCCCTACCACTCTCAGGCATCCAGTCCAGCTTGCACAGAACTGGAAATGAATGTGATGGATTGGTTGGCTCAAATGATGGGGCTTCCGGAAACATTCTTACATTATCATCCAGGCAGCAAAGGTGGTGGCATCTTGCAGGTAAATGAGTGGGTTAATTGATTGAGTAAGGGAGGGTTTTAATGTTCATAGCCATCCATTTACCGTGTGATTGATTCTGAAGATTCATTGTTGTCAAACTGAGCATGCTTAGAACATGTAGCTGTATTTGGTACTCCTTTGGCCAATATGGTGCTCTCCAAATATGTTGGAGC